AAAATGAAAAAAAATACTTCTTCATTATGTCAAAACACAATTATGTGCCGAGTTTCGTGATTGGGCGAGGCTTCTAGGGTGATATATTGTGATTACAGACACACAGCCGCGTTTATTATTATGTATAGATGATAAAATGTCACAAGACAACAAAATTTAATAATTTAATTAAAGTAACAATTAATTTGATTTTCAAATTGCAGTTTAAAAAATGTATGATATTTTCCACAGATTATCCTTTCTCAATTATCCAGAAGAAAGAAAATTCTGGAAAAATTACCTTAAAAATCGCAATTATGTTAATAAAAACTGAAATAAGCATTATTTAAACCACTCATTTGGTAATTCTTTTGTTAACGGTTTCCTCTAAATTCTAATTTCCAAAATTGTAGTTCTTATTACCACATATTTAGTACTAGCAAATGCAAAACTGAAAACTAAATTGAGCTGAATAAATGGTTTTTATGTCATACTCTAAGTTATATGAAGAAATTAGCAAATTTTACCAAATTTTATCATTTATTATAAAATTATATTTCATTGTTAATTTAGCAAAAAATTTTCACCAAAGCACTTCAGCAACATTACCAAGCTTTTCCGCGTTCCCATAAGGCCTGAAACCTAGTAAAACTTATCATATTCTGATAGTTTTGACCATACTTGTTTTCTCAGTGTACCAAAAATGTTTTGATAAAATTATATTGTATGATTTTTTACAGAGTTTTTGCTAATTTATTTCTCTTTTTGAGACGTATTTGTTCAAAGCTACGTTGTCTTATTATCATTGTGAAATAGTTATTGGCACCCAGAATTTTCAGGGATGGAATCGTGATTAAAAATCTCTCTAAAATAAGGTTTACTTCTTCATTCAATGCGTAAAAATTAATGCCGTATGAATCCATCACAATGCATGCGACACTGTTTTTTAAAGCAATTCATTTCTGGCATTCAATAGTTGAAATAATAAACTTCTGACTAATGGTTCTACTCAAAATCATAAACCAAAATAACCAACAATATAAATCAAAATAACCAAGATAAATCAGATAATAAAAAAAAAAAATCAAGTCGTTCATTAAAATCTACTTTTATTAACTTACAATACAACAAAAAGATTTTACAATGCAGTCGCACACATTTTTCATATAGTTCGTGATCATTGTAGCGAAATTAAAAAAAAAAAGATTAATGCGTTTTATAGCTAATACGATGCTCTATTTTAGTTCGTTTAGAAACTAAAAACTTAACATAATTTATTTCAGGACTCAGCAGTTGCAGTCAAAAAGTCCTCTGATTAATGACTGAAAAAAAATTTTTTTAGACAATACGACTTTATTCATCAATAATCATTCCAATGTTAGTCTAACGTTGCGATGTCATTCTTATAAAGCGAATGTCCTGAACCTCCAAAATATGACTTCATATTTTTTGATGATTCTCTTTTCCCGGATTATTTGCTTGATTGTAGTAAACAGGTAACTGTCACTCAGAAATGGATCTGTGTCGGATACATTGTTAAAATTTGCATTCTAAAATTATGGTAAAATAACTGGCAGCTATCTGTCCATCCGATTAACCGTAAAGTTTACGGTAAGGAACATTTTTTTCCTTTATGGTTTTGAAACCATTTACAAAAATTATGATTATAATACCATGAATAGGAAATTATTCGGTTTTTAAACCTTTTACATCAAGCATTTTTCAAAAACATAAAAGAAAATAATAATAATTATTTAACTAGACATAAGAGATCGGCTTATCGTAAGGTAATAAGCATTGGGGAATGCCGGACGCTGAATATTCTTCATGTGTTGAAGGAAATGGAGGATATAGGTATTGTGGTGTCAATACTAGGACTCGAACTCCAGTTCATCCGGTCATGAGATTGACAGATAAGCCCGCTCGGCAATAATATGTACGTAGTTGCAAAGAACTTAGTAGCTTCATTAGGTGGTTCTAGCTTGTGTGATAAAATTCCGGTTGTTTAACCGTATTAGTTGAAAACAGTTAATAAACAGTTTTTCTCAAACTTAACAGTTTGATTGACATTTTATTTATGGTTATTTGACTGTTTTGATTATATATGGTTAAATAACCATTCACTAAATAGTTATTTAACCATTTTTTCTGAGAAATTTCGAACAGTGCAACAATAGCTCAATTGGCGCAATTTTAGTATCACGCAGTTTCAGTATTTGGTATGGTTTAGCATCGTCTTTGAACAAGCTTGCACAATATTGTTTTTGCCCCACTGATAGCTAATTTCGTAACTCCTTCAGAAAACAATTTTTTCTTACGCAAATTATTCTTCAAAATATTAAAAACGTTGCCTTTAATGTGTTAGATATAACTTGCAATTTCCCTTTACGCTTTTCCAATGCAACTTTAAGAAATGTTATTTTTTAAAACTTGTATGGTTTTGTTATAGAATCACCTTAATCGTACCTCCTAAGCATTTTGCAGTATTGTTGCTTAAATGACTCCGGTTAAACACTTTGACGTGGTTGCTGTGGACCAGACATCATTCTTTTCAAGCCATTTCTGATCGTGAATGTTAATTTTGTCTGTAAGAAAGTATTTAAACAGAGATGAAATTTGGTGTTATGTATCGTTCTTTCTTTACTTCTTATTTCGACTCAAAACTTCAAACTGAAAGTTCGAGATGCCTGTAAATAGTGATAAAAGTTGAAGATATATTAAAAGGAATATTTTAAAAGTTTGTATAGTATCTGAAATATGCATCTATTTATTTTTCGTAGCGCCTTTTGTGGATTAGTCTTAATGCTTTTTGAGTGACGACTTAAACCTAACTTGCTTTGAGTTCTGTATTTTTTGCAAAGGATTTATTTATTTTTTTTGTACTCAGAATAAGTTAAACATTATTGATTAAACAAATTTCGGAAAGAGATTATTTAATATTTATTTTATTTTTAAACTTAGATAATTGTGGTATGGTTATATTGGCTTAAGAAGTTAAAACTAAAAACTACCTGAACATCCATGCGTTGGCTCCGGGATTTTTTTTTTTAATTTACATAACTAACAGTTTCATTATTAACTGAGAATGCAGCATCAATGCAAAATTTTGGGATTCATAACTAAGAAAATTAATTTAAATTTAGAAGTATAAATTATTAAAAAAAATATATAAATAAATGCAAATTTAAAGATAAAAATATTTTTAATATACAATATTCTAAGACATATAAAATTACATAAAAAAAGAAAGTGAGAAAACAAACGATTAGCGAAAAAATATACATCAATTATATTATTTTATTACATAACTAATGTTATTACATAACATAACAATATCTTGTATTATGTTAAAAACATAACATAACTACTTTGAATTTTTAAACTAAGATTCATTGTAGAATAATATCAGTGCAACACTGACACTAATTGTCTACATTAATAAGAAATAAAATCACTAGATAAAATTATCAGAACTACTTTTATTTACGCAAATTAAATAACTAACATTAAAATATTAATTTCAAAGAGACTAAGTTAAAGTTTGGATGCATGTTCTACTTTACGTTACGCTAATGCTTTTTGAATAATTTTCTTACAAAGATTAGATATCAATTTAACGTTTTCTAATTTTAATAACACTTGAAGACTATGGGTTAATAAAACAAAAGCGCAGACTGTCTAAATTATTACAAGTAATTTGCAAGCTTTTGTCCCATACACTTACAAGAAATTGACTAAAACAAGAATTTTTGTTGACGTATTACATAAAAATAAACTGTATACTGTTAAAAAAACTCTGGATCAAATTACGGTAAAAAGTACTGGCACTTACGGTACTAGTACATTTTACTGTAAAATTAATTATTACCGGAACATGGTACGGAGCCAAAAATCTGATGTACGGCAACTTTTGCAGTAATAATTACCGTAAATTCTCCGAATTACTGTAATTAAATAAATAGCATTGTAAAAAGCACTTTATAATATATTACGGTAAAAATGGATTTTACGGTGAAAAAGGGATTTCACGGTAAAATGGATTTTACGGATGATGCACCCTACTTTATCTCGCAATTTCTCCGGGAGTTTTTTACACTGTATACAAGGTTGAAATTAAACTAAAAACTTCTGCCAGAAAAGCAACATATGTATCCAAAAAAAAACTATTCACAACCCAACTTTGAGAATTCGTCATTTTGATCTTCGATAAATAATTCATCAACGCAGAAAAAATGCGTACATCAACGTAAAACATGACATTTATTAAGCGATTAACATTCTGGTAAATAACATTCTAGTTTTTAAAACCAATCTATGAAGTTTAATGCAACGTAGATCTACCTCCTCATGGTGCACTCCGGGCAACGCTCTGCGTCTAAATGATCTACAACCTTAGGCAATCACTTGCTATGAAAGCCCATTGTGGTGTTTGGGGCAATGAGTAGGCAGATTTACTTGTCAGAAAAGGTGCCAATTTGTTACAACAACCAAATACGGCAACTTCCTTTTGGAAAATCAAACTATCCCTTAAAAATTTATGTAAAACCAACTCATTACGAGACCTTCAGACTCGCGCAGCTTTGAAAAGTAGGAGAAATGTAAGCTCTTCTTTAATTCCCGACAAATCAAGACGCGATGCAGTTGCGGCCTTCCTCTTATATACAGGCCACGACTGTCTTTCCGCTCACTTATACCGCATAGGCCCTTCCACCACGCCTTTTTGTCCACTTTGTAAATCTGGAGAGAAATTGGGCAGGGACCACCTACTTCTATCTGGGGCCCTTCAAGGACACACTGAGTCCTCAAGATATTGGGAAGAAAGAGAACTTTTAAGGCAATGACTTCGGTCTTCTTTCTTTGTTATACTACGTACATTTGTATTCGTTATTTGTTTCATCTTTCTATTTGTACCTTTTTGCCTTACCATTGGAAATAGGAAAAAAAAAAGTTTAATACAATTTTGTAAATCACCCCTCTTGATTAATAATTTGACTGACAATTGTTGATTTTATTTTCTTCAGGTCCACCAGATCCAGTGCAAAACTGTAGCGTTAGTAATCATACAGAAGAATCATTAATGATAAGATGCCAAGAAGCATATGATGGTGGTCTTCAGCAGAGTTTCACCTTGGAAACGTATGACGCTGAACACATAACGATGCTTAATAACATGTCAAATCCAGCACCAGTGTTCACTGTTTATGACTTGACACCAGGAACTAGTTTTGTGATTGTTATTTATGCCTATAATGCCAAGGGAAGAAGTGAACCTAAAATTGTGAGAACGAGTACATTGGCAACACCTGAAAGTCTCACTCAAAGAGGTGAGCTCCTGAACTTATTTGTATTACTGTTCAACTTTATTTATTTACAATCAATGATATACAGAACTGTAAAAATTATTCTTCCTTTGTCTGCGGGGCATTCTATTGGGGAGAATGGTGAGGATTGATTNCCAAACATTACTTTTTTATCGTTTACATGTAAACCAATTGTTGCCTTAAATCAGCTTTTTGTTTTTTTTCCATAGTTTCCATGAATTAAAGATTAATTCCATATGTTTTTACGTCTTTTTTTCTGTATCGTGCATTGATACGTATGCACTATCCATTTCATGCAGCTCTGTGGATGTTTCGCACGACTTTCTTACTTTCTTTGCTTGCTCCCCTAATTTTTTTGAGCAGTGTAGTTTGTAAAACCAATCTATGAAGTTTAATGCAACTTAGATATACCTCCTCGTGGTGGACTCCGGTCAACGCTCTGCGGCTAAATGATCTACAGCCTTCGGCAATCACTTGATATGAAAGCCATTGTGGTGTTTGGGGCAATGTGCAGGCAGATTTACTTGCCAAAAATGGTGCCAATTTGCTACAACAACCGAATACGGCAACTTCCTTTTGGAAAATCTTATAAATTATGTAAAACCAACTCATTGCGAGACCATCAGACTCATACAGCTTAGAAAAGTAGGAGAAATGTAAGCTCTTCTGTAATTACCGACAAACCAAGACGTGATGCAGTTGCTGCCTTCCACTTACATATAGGCCACGATTGTCTTTCTGCTCACTTATACCGCATAGGCCTTTCCACCACGCCTTTTTGTCCACTTTGTAAATCTGGAGAGAAATCGGGCAGGGACCACCTGCTTCTATGTGGGGCCCTTCAAGGACACACTGAGTCTTCAAGATATTGGGAGGCAAGAGAACTTTTAAGGCAATGACTTCAGTCTTCTTTCTTTGTTATCCTACGTACATTTGTATTCGTTATTTATTTCATCTTTTTATTTGTACTTTTTTGCCCTGCTATTGGAAATTTAATAAAAAAAGTTTAATGCAATTTTGTAAATCACCCTTCTTGATTAATTATTTGACTGACAATTGTTAATTTTATTTTCTCCAGGTCCTCCGGATCCAGTGCAAAACTGTAGCGTTAGTAATCATACAGAAGAATCATTAATGATAAGATGCCAAGAAGCATATGATGGGGGTCTTCAGCAGAGTTTCACCTTGGAAACGTATGACGCTGAACACATAACGATGCTCAATAACATGTCAAATCCAGCACCAGTGTTCACCGTTTATGACTTGACACCAGGAACTAGTTTTGTGATTGTTATTTATGCCTATAATGCCAAGGGAAGAAGTGAACCTAAAATTGTGAGAACGAGTACATTGGCAACACCTGAAAGTCTCACTCAAAGAGGTGAGCTTTTGAACTTATTAGTATTACTGTTCAACTTTATTTTTTTATTGTCAATGATATACAAAACTGTCAAAATTATTCTTCCTCTGTGTGAGGGGCATTCTATTGGGGAGAATGGTGAGGATTGATTAACCGTTTTCTAAAATGAAAGGTGGGAATTGAGTTTGAATTTATGGTCGAAATAATAATGTTTTTCAAATATTTAAAAGCTACATTATAAAGTATTTCTCGCATATAGTTTAGTTCCGTTTCCTAATTATTTGATTTTTTTATGAAATATAAGGTAATAGGATATAATTTGTAAATTTTTATCCTCCTAATTCATTTACCTATAATTCACCAAAAAATCTAATTTTTAAAATATGAATACAAAACTTACAATATTTGAAGAGGATAATGTAAGTTTCTGTTACATATCACATTCAAAACTCTTTCTTGAAATTTTAATGCCAAAAAATTAGTTCAAAGCCATTTACTTCATTTTTTGAACATTGTTATTTCAAGGGTTCTATTTTTTGAATTCCAATAATTGATTGAGTCCTGCCGTGCGTATTTTTTTCACTTGGTGTTGTAAAACTTATTCAAAATAAATAATGATATTTCAATCAAAAAACGGGGACAAACGTGTTTTGGTTCAACTTGCAGATGGTAGTAAGCTTAAGCGGTGATTAAGCAGGTAGTACCAAGATGTGTTTAAAAAAAACTGGCCATTAAAGGAGTGTTCTAAAAAATTATTGAAAGTTAGAATAGCTCCTTCGGTGTTTTTTAATTTTTTTTTTGCACACTACTAACCATAGAAAACATTCAAATTTATACATTAGAAAATAAATACACATACTTCTAGCAGTTCTCAGCAAAATAATTACGTCAAACATTTTCTTTTAAAGTAAAAAAACGCTTAAATTAAATTATTTTTCATTTTAAATTAAAAAAAATATGGGAAATATTATCAGTTTTTTGAAAATTAATTATTTATTTTGAAAAATTAATTATTTATAATTTATAATTGTTGGTGCCCATAAAGCAAACATTTGTTTTTTCCCCATTTTATTTATTTAAAAAATTGTGGTGATTTAACCCCTGGTTCACAGTTATTTTCACTACTTTAAATACTTTTTGCCTGATATCAAATGAGGATTAAATTATGCATCCAAATTGAGCATCCGAATTAAACGAGAATCATACTTTTTCGTAGCAGGTTATGCAGAAATAGTTGATTCATAAAGCCAGTTTTATAAATATTGAAACCTATGTTAAAATTAAAAATGAAACACGCAGAGGTAAAATGAAGCCAGTCTATGCTGAATATCTAAAATATTAGCCTACACTATTTTACAACAAAAATAAATAGTTTATGTAAAGATTTCCTATTTATGGAAATTTAAAAGATGGCTGCCATCCAAAGTTCAGCTTAGTCTGAGATATATTGATGTTTAAGATTTAACAATTTCAACACACAGTCTAGTTTAAGTCTTCTTTTTTGTTATGTAAATAGAGCTTTATGATGCAAGACAAAATGGATTTCAGTCGTAAACTTGAAAGTAGAATAATACAGCTAAAATACTCAATTTACTGGTTCGATGAATATGTGAAAAATATGTTCTTACTGTATGTTTAATAGTTGACGTAGAAAATAGTAGAATATTTCAACAGCAATCAAACTCTATTCATACAAACTTGTAACATAATTCACTCATTTCTTAGAGTCTGGAAATAAATGTTTCTCCTTTAAGTTAGACTTTTAATGTAATTAAATGATACTACAATAGTAGTAATTTCTTAATAGTTAATTAAATTAGTTTTCAAAATGATATGTGTATAAGTAAATAGATTTAAAGTAATTTTTTCTTATTTTTGTTGTTTTATGATCAAAATGGCTAAAACTATTTATATGAACGAAAAAAACTTCTTAACCCAGGAGGATGCATTCCCTTTAATCGAACGTAAAGACGCGGAAGTTAAGAACGTTAAAATGGACCAAATAAAATTCATCAAAATGATGCGCAAAAAAGCTAAGTTTTATTACATATGTTAATTTTTTTGAGTTTTTAGACATTGTAAATTTATTGCTTAACTATTTAAATCTTTTTGCCATTCTTTTTGTGATAAATTAAATGAAACTTGATAATATTTACTTCTAGTAATTAGTATATTAATTATTATATTATACTCGATATGATTGATTTAATACAGACAGAAATGCATATAGAAATATTTATGAATATTTAATTTTCTCCGAGGCACTAGTTACGCAATAAAATGTATGTTCCTTCGAAAACTAATCAAGCACAAACTGTTAGTTACAGTGGTCCTCTCTTTCTCCTGCAGAACTTCCTTTTAGGGGGTTTTTAATATCTATTTTGGTGATTCCAGACATAAACTGTTTATTATTTGAGCTTGTAGTTCATGATTCAAATGCGGAATAATCCAAGTTTGCTGATGTTGATTACTAATAAGTGACTAAGCAAGGTCTTTGATATTCATACACAGGTAAGTAATGTCGCCGGTTTTTATGCACAGTAAGTTAATTTTTTTTTAGATAGTAAAGCAGGCTCTTGTTCTTATTGCACTAAGTTCGTTTTGCTACCAAACCGGGTAATACATCCCCTCTTCAGATGATCAAAATTGCGATGTCATGACTTCGGATCCTCCTCATGGATGTTTCCCCGACCATCATTGATAGCCCATTGTGCAGCCCTAGATCGACGTAAATAAAATACTTACCTATTTATTGCGGTAAAACTTCCATGAACATTGTAAATCAGGAGAAATTAATTGCAAATCAGTAATTGAGAACGAAATAAAAGCACTGAACTCGGCAGCTACGTATAACAAAATGATTAATTGAACAAAATGAACGCATCGCCGGGCCATTCCATGACCCCAGTAACTGATTAAAACGTCAATTGAAGGAAGAAAAAAATCCAAAAATTCCTTCAAATTATTCATAAAAGGCAGATGAGGGTAGTTTCTAATAGAACAGAGATAAACAGGTGTCTAGTTCTTTTAGGAATTAGAACTTATAAAATGCATGAGGTCATAAAATGACCTCCATGCGTCCTTCCGAGTAAAACATTTATTAAATTCAATTTAATTTCGGTTTTTTAAGTCATTTGTAATAAAGTTAAAAACTGTACAAAAGTGCAAGCACACAGATTATATATATATATCTATATATCTATATATAT